GTGTCCACCAGTGTTCGGACGAGTTAGCAGCAGCGCGATCCCTGGGCAACCCGTCTCCAGTGCCGGCCGATTTAGCAGCAGCCGCGAATCCCTGAGTACCACACAAGGTCACCAGTGTCCGGCCGAGTTAGCAGCACAGCGCGATCCCTGAGCACCCGTCACCCAGTTGTCGGCGGAGTTAGACCGTCGCGATCCCTATCACCCGTCCCGAGTGTCGCCGAGTTAAGCAGCAGCGCGATCCCTTAGCACCGCATCCATGTCGGCCGAGTTAGCAGCAGCGCGACCCTGAGCACCCGTCACCATTGTCGGCCGAGTTAGCATGCAGCGCGATCCCTGACGCACCCTCACCAGTGTCGGGCCGAGTTAGCAGCGGCGCGATCCCTAGAGCACCCGTCACCAGTGTCGGGCCGAAGTTAGCAGCAGCGCGATCCCTGAGCACCCGTCACCAGTGTCGCCGATTTACCCAGCGGCGCCGGCTGCTGCGGCGGATCCCTGGTGACGGCGGCCGGCTGTGTCCGGCAGACTCTCCGGCCGACCTCCACGGCATGTGTACCGACAGTGCGGCGCACATATGCTCTGCCTCAGCAAGCTGTACCGCTGCACCGAGGCGCGGGCGTGTTCCAGGGCCTCTCGCAGGAGCGCTCGCCATGTTGCTTGCAGAGCCTGCAGAAGCGCGGCGCGTGCCATCGCCGAGACCAAGTAGAGGCACGCGGATGACACGCCTGCGGCCGCGGGGGAGCGCCACGGGGTGCGGGCGTGTGCGGGGTGTCACGGCGCTTTGATCAATCAGGTGTATACTCTGGATCTGTGGACTTTACAGCACTCCGCGACAGCTCGTCACTCAAGCCATGCGATCATGGCTGCACGTGTGTCGTAGTTTGAAGGCGGAGCGGCGTCGCCACTGCCTTGAAACAAGAGTGCAATCAGAGGTTAGATCTGGCACGTGCGCCTCAGTTGGGGATGATAGCCGCCCTGATCCGGTTGCAGTCGTTGCGTGATGCCCAGCTGTTCGAGGTGAAGCACTTGCTGATTCTTCGTGAGCAGATCGCGCCGTTCCACGTGGACTTCTCCGTGCGTGAGATCAGTCTGGACCTCAGCAAGATCAAGACCGCTGGTAAGTGGTGCTCCTGGTGGTAACTAACGCATCGATTGTCCACTTGTGTGGATGCTCGGTGCCAAGTATGTCTCCCTATTTAGTTACCAGCTCCCACGGTACATTTGCCACTTGTGATGGCAATATAATGTAGATAAGACAGTAGTAGTAGCTTTATTCCTCGAAGAAAAATCAGGAGAATGGAGATATAGATGGGTTGATGTTTCGGCAACACGCCTTGATCGAAACAAGAGCAGAAGTTAATTGCAGTATAATGTTGTGCTTTGGAAGATCAGCATGCTGACTGGCCATCGATATTATATGTTGACGCGCAAATTTCTCTACATATTTTTTCTGAATGCTCCGTTTCCCTCATGAAAATACCGGATCGTACCTCACGCTTGTGGGTAGTTGACCTGGCATTTAAATATGTAAAGAGTTTATGTTTTGTGTAAGTTGTTAAGTGCATTTGCGAGAAGCATTACACACATGGATAAGACAGTAGTAATAGCCTTATTCCGCGTAGAAAAAACAAACGAGGAGGATGGAGATGTGGATGCGTTGATATTTCGGCAACACGTCTTTATCGAAACGAGAAGCAGAAGTAAATTCAAAATTGCCTGCTGATGATCCTACCCGATTTTTCAGGGTTTTCTTTTTAAAACAGCGAGCCATAGTTTTTACAGGTACCCAACATTCGGGGGATTAAACAAGGAGCAGTGGCCAGCCATTACTACGATACGGTGTATAACTAAGAATATGATCACGCGAAAAAATACGTGTACACAAATTCGTTCACATGTACACGTATTTCTCGCGCGATCTTATTCTTAGTTAGATATACACTGTATCGTAGTAACGACTGGCCACTGGTCTTTGTGTAATCCCCCGAATGTTGGGTACATGTAAAAACTATGGCCCACTGTTTTAAAAAGAACCTGGAAAATTGAGTAGGATCATCAGCAGGCAATTTTGAATTTCCTCCTGCTTTTTGTTTCGATAAAGGCATGTTGAAATATCAACGCATCTATATTTCCATTCTCCCGTTTTTTACGGGGAATAAGGCCATTCCTGCTGTTTTATCTATGAGTCAATTTATTCCTTAGCCATCGTTGAACATTGACGAGTATTGCTTTTCCTGGTTCGAACCCTGTTGTGCTTGCCACAGTGCGCCAAATAGGTTTTGGTTAGCCAATACCGAGGCGATATACACCAAATGAAACTGTCCCGACAACGCACTTCTCAGCAGAAATCCCTATGTGACTTCAACGGGGGCACTCCTTTAACGCTGGGACGGCCGCACGCGTGGCAACGGACATGAAAGATCGCATGCCTTACAACGCGTTAGTCGTTACATACCCAGAGCATGCACCAGGGGCGTACCCAAGCGTACCTAGCGTAGAGGCGCACCCTTTCAATGTGGACTCATCCGGCGACAATATTCATTTTAGAACTGAAGTGGCACATAGCGAAGCTAAGCGCCCAAACGCTAGTATGAGAGGCCCGCACTGTCCCACGGATCCCCAATCGATGCAGAGGCCCTCTGGCTGGCCTTGGAGGCGATGCCCAACGGGCGGGGGCGTCCTTATTGTGACCTACGGGGCGTGCTTCTGGCCCTTTGGCCTCTTGCCTTATGATTGGGCCCTTGATATTTTGGTCTCCAGGGGCTATTCGTCCCCTCTGCGGGCCTGCGCAAACAAAACCCGCGGTGAACTCGGGACACTTGCCGACACATGGCCCCCGGTTAATACCCTGGGCCCATGGCCGACACAGGGGCCTAATCATTGTTTCAGGGACCCAGTCCAGTGCAAATCATGGGTCCCGGCCTCGTCCTTGCTTGGGAAATGGAATATCATGGTTAGACAGACACGTAGCCATCTGTTCGGTGCTGGTGGTCTCTGGCCATGATAAACGCCTGCAATGTCTCAAGGGGTCCCCAAACGGTATAAGAAGCCCTCTGTGTAATATTTCAGGTCACGGTCCTACGGGCCGTGATCCTTTGTTTGACCTACAGCCAGCCCTTCGGGCCGCTATGCCCTCCAATCAGGTTCTTAATCGTCGGTTTCGGCGAACCCCGGGCACATCTTGGGGCCTCACTGAGCACTGCTCTTGGTCAACGCGGGACCCCTTGTCAATACAGGAGTCTCTGGTAGGCACTGTAGGCCCCTGACAGATGCGGTGGCTCAGATCGGTGTAAATCGCTGGCCCCAGTTTGGTCGTCGTTTTGAAAGTGGGCCCTCAGGCCCATCCGACACGGAGCCGACTGTACGGTGCTGGTGGTGCCAGACTCAGGTGCCAGTGTCAGTGCCAGTGTCAGTGCCAGTGTCAGTGCCAGTGCCAGACTCAGTGCCAGACGCTTATCGACTGAGGGGTTCCCCGAACGGCGCAATAAATCCTCTGACTGCCATCTGAGATCCCGTCCCTGCAGGTTGGGCCTCTGAAGAAGACTGTCTAGCCCATCGAGCCCTTAGTCCCCTCGATGAGGTCCTTGATCGTCGGCCCGGTGGGCTCTCCTGGACCTTCGGAATTAGGAAACTAAGGGGGGGGGGGGGGGTCTGGGACCCTTGTACCCCTCCTTCCGCAAGCGCCACTGGTGCTACATTTGGTTCAGTTTGCATGTGGTATGATATTCGGCACATAAAAATGATGGAAATGCAGGGCTTTCAAACGTCAATGCTCCGTTCTCTCCTAAATACAAACCGCCAACCGGGAGCCAGGACACCAGGACACCAGTGGTTCTTCCTGCGGACAGAGGATTGGAGGGATAGGCCTTCCCCCTCAACTCCGGGCAACATTGAACATTTGAACACTGAACAACAGCGCTATGACGGCGCATGGAGGGGAACGAGGTGCAAAGCATTGTCGCACAAATTTCGGGTACAAATCGAGTCACCCTCCCCGCCCTTTCCATTAATGTTCCACCGCTACTGGTTCTTTCCCGAGACAAAGATCGCACTATACATACAATACACTGCATAATACATACCAGCCTTCGTCACAATGAAATGATTTAAGATTCGAAATAGCATTCCCTGCGATGTGTTTAATACTTGATGCAATTTTTACTCATTATTCAGCGCTCAACCGTCATCGCATCTCCCTTAAAACGTCACACCGCCGCCGATGGCCGGTCCGCTAATTCACTGCAAAATCAGAATGGAAAAGTATATGTCTCACAATGATAAAAAGCACTGAAGTGACAAAAATAGACTGAAAATGCACATAAAACCACAAAAGCTTCACTTTCTTCGGAAGGGAGGTCTTTTAAGACCATGGAAATCTATCCCCGGTGACGTCAATCGGCTGAATCGTGCAAGCACGTTTAGAGGCATTGGGATGACGACGGCGTGGCCAAGACATTTTTTCTAAAACCCTTCAAAGAAAGTTTTGGAATTTGGCTAATGTGACAGTTGTGGCTTAAAAATTTGGTTTATAATACTTTTGGTTTATCGTACCTTCGACGCGTAAATATGATGAAGTTGGAGTGCTTTTCTAATAAAAAATCCGAAAAACACAACTTTGGCGGCAAGACGTGCTGAAGGACCTTCAGGTTTTTCAAGCGGACATCAGGGATCAATTCAGTTCTTGGCAGTCGGGCAGTCATGTCCGTGCCGCGCGTCAACGTCATTGCCACGTTACAAAGGCGTGGAACCTGTCTGAGCCTGGACGCTTTCCTCGCTTGTTCCCACGTTCGTTCTCTCCCGGTGTCTGCGGATTGGCAAGCAGCACCGTATCTAGCGCGGCCCCGCTCGTCTGCCTTTGTCCCGTGGCTCCATCGTCAGGCCTATCGCTCGGTGCCAGGCCGCACGGTGACGGCCACGCGCCCTGCCGGCAGCCATGGGCCTGGTGCAGCGGCGCTCGCAGCTGTTCGCGCTCAACTCGAGCAACGCGCTGCTGGAATTCCTGCTGGAGGGCACGCCGGCCGTTCAGGAGCACACGCGCGACTCAAAGCGCGAGGTGGACCTGCAGCTGAAGCGCGTGTGCGAGGCGTTCATCCGCGGCACGCAGCAGCTGCTCCAGCAGCCGGTGCACAGCGTCATTCTGAGGGTGAGCAGGCGGCCGGCAGTGGTGGTGGAGCGGCTGCCTGGTGGCTGGGCTGAGGCTGGCACGGAGTGAACGTGTGGTTCATGGTGCAGCAACGCTGGGTTGGCATATCTAGGGACTTGTGTTTCAGGGCTCCTGGGACCTGGAGTATCGTGCGCATTGTTTCATTTCCTGTGTTTAGTATTGTATGATGCGTCGATCGCTTTCTGACCACGGGCTTCGTTGTCGCGGCGAATCGAAGCGAAACTGCTGTTCTTTATGCAGCAATAGTAGCTACTGACGCCGGGTGCGAGCTCACTCCTCAAGAAGACAGAGTTAGATGCTTGACACCTGCTCTGTGACATTGTGGTCCAGTTGATGCGCTGGCTAGCTTTAGAGTGCGTCTGCCGTCCTCCAGATCGAAGCCGTTCTGGAGTCGGCTCCGGACCAGCCGCTGCCGCCGGCCGAGACGGTGGCCGCGGCCGTCACCGAGACCCAGCGGCTCATCAAGACCCACCTGCCCGACATACAGCAGAGTATGCAGCTCTACCTGGCCAACCGCGAGACAGAGTTCATCCTCTTCAAGCCCGTCAAGGTGAGGTTAGGTGGCCGAGCTCCTGATGTCAAGGCGTGCGTGTGTGCATGTTGCCGTTATTTGTGCGAGTGGGTGCGGATTGCACCACCCACCTGCCTATCCAGGTGAAGCGGATGTGGTACAGCATTTCATCCTTTTCAAAGTGCGGGAAGCGCAAGGTCCGGGGGTGGAGTTTGCTTTCGTTAAACTGTTAAGCTCATTGGGTGCGTCATTTTCAAACGTGTCAACAACAAAAAACAGAACGTGCTTATATATTGTTCAAACCATCGTACGTAGCGATGCATTTTTGCCACACGATACATTCAGTTCTGACATCGAGCCACCCGTGGCATTGTGCGGAGTGCCTGCCGCTCGACTGCCGACCGCTCCAGCCGGCTGGGCGGCCAGCTATCAACCCCGCTCAGCCCCGTCTCTGTCATGCGCAGGTGGGCCTGCTGCAGCGATTCCAGCGTCTGCAGGACATTATCATGCAACAGTACAGCGACGACGACCGCATGATCATCATGTGTCCGTCGCAGGATCAGGTCAGCGTGCTCGTCTCATCCTGTATGCAGCCGGCGCCGTCCTAGGGACCTCGCTGCCGGCGCCGCCGGCGGCGGCCGCGTTCGCTCCGTTGTTGCCGTTATCGTGTGCGGCGCGACGTGCTGCTGCGGCGCTGGTAAACGGCCGTCCCGATGCCTTCTGCGCCGCGCTTCTGCCCTGTCGCGCCGCCCTGCCGCGCTGCCCTGTTGCGCCGCCCTGCCGCGCTTCCGCGGGCTGACAGACCCTGCCGAACGTTCGCATGGTCAGCTGTCGAAGCGGTGGCCGCCGCGCGGTCCGGCCGGTGGGCGGGCGCCTCTCCGCGCGAGGCCCTGCGCGTTAGGCGCGTGCAGGACCTCGCAGTCAGTGCCCAGCGCTGGTAGGCGCCGGGGCTGGCTGGGTGTGACGGCCCTCACGTGGTCATTATGGTCTTTGTTTATCGCTGATTGGCGTTTTTGTTTGTTTTATCTCTGGCATTAGGTACCGGCCTTTCATATCCGGATTGGTGCGGCATTTGTGGGTGCTCACCATAATCGCCTTGCTTGATCGTAGTGAAAGGATCCAAGCATTCCAGTCTTTTTATATGTTTTGTTGTGAAAGGAGCTCGATCAATTTCATGGTTATCACTGATTTGTATAAAACTGCTTTCTATTACTGGGGCGATCGTGTAACGTTGTTTGGTTCCATAAGAATTCTGGTGAGGTATTTATCAGACTAAAATTGGGCCAAGGAAGTTTCTTTGCAGTTTTCACCATGTAGGTGACCAAATGTGATGTGTCCCGCTTCGATGGCAGGATATGAGCGCGATTGGTTGTTAATGTTTGTTTGGCATGTATTTTTGCACCAGGGTGTTTGTTACACAGGCGCAATATGCTCTCGCCGCGCTCTGATCCTCTCTACCTAGGCTTGGCATTGCACCGGCGTCTGTTACATTTGTGTCCTAAAGGCTCGACCGAGCGTGGGCAGCCGGAGCTAATTTCACGATGACGCGTAGTTTTGCAACCATTGGCAATCTAATCAGGCTGCGACTTGATATTTAGACGCGAACCAATATATGCAAGTGTTTTGTATCCAAATATTGAACTCGAGTATTGCGTATTTCGCCGAGAGCATTTGTGTCGAAACTGTGGATTAATGCCCTACAAATAGCGCTCCAAATTTGGGTCGAGATAATTAATTTCTGTGCTGCAGGTTTGTGATCGCGAGCCTGTCTGGTGCTTCGGTTGTGTTTGGGTTACAGCCAACGTTCAGTTCATTGTTATCTTAAAAATACATTACGGGTGGTGAACGGCACGAGTTCTGTGTGGGTGGTATGAACTGTTGTGATGAACGTCACAGAGACACGATATGATGTGCGCGCGAGTGCGGCGGCTGGCCGAAGCTTGAAGTGTGAAGATGTAAAGCACATCAAATAGCGTTGAACGTTCTCAATGTTCAAAGCCTCGCCATCCAGGCTGACGAGCGATCGACGAGCTCTAGCCAGTTTATTCCCGGATAAGTGAGGCGATTGTTCATCGCGGGGGAGGTTGGCTTGATTTCGTCTTCAGCTACAGATGGGCAATTTTCAAAGGACTTTCACAACGCGTATCGGACTGCTTTGAACTGTTTTTTTTATGGGGGGGGGGGGGGGGGGCGTTTCAGACCAAGTGCTAGTAGAAACGGAACAGTCGTCCTGACCATTTTCCTCGCTGATATTGCGATTGATAGAAGCAATGTTTTGGCCTGTTGCTTATCGGGCGGCGGGCGTCGCCGGCTGCAGGCTATCGGGTTATGGGGCCGGCCCTCACAAAGATAACGTCATCTTTGGCGCCCCGTGATTTCGTGTCAAGCTTTCCAGGTTGTGGCGCGTCGAGGATGTTGTGTTCATGAGCTGGGGCAGAGCCAGGCCGAAATCAGCTATATGGAAAACAAAACGTTGAGCATTTTGGTCACCTGGAGCGATGCCGGATTTTTGGAGAGGGGGATTGAAATACAGATGTTATTGCAAGCTACGTTTCACAGCATCGAGATTCCAGCACAGCAAAGACGATGTGTTTTGTGATGGGGGTGAGGGACAAACTGTTCTACATTAAAGGTAATGTCCCATTTTTTTGTAATTGCTACGCAATTTGCAATTTGATCAGCAGTGCCAGCTTTCTCGAAATCCCCCTGAATAGCTCCAAACCTAACTTGAAGCAGCCTGCCCTGCGGGAGAAATCGCATTTGACCCCCTGCCCACTACTTTGAAAGTAATGCAGTTCATTTGTCTTGCTTTTTCCAACGTCTGTTTTCTGCAACGCTTGCAACGCACTAATGTGTCAATTGTTTGTGTGATAAATGCCATGAAAGCTTAAAACACCTTTTAGGTCAAAATATATGTGAATTTGAAGCTATCCTCCGGCGAATTCAGCGAAACGTTATACTATGGCTTTGCTTTCTCTCCCATGGCATGTACCACAGTGTCTGTTTTCGAGGTGCACTTATCGCGTGATCTATATGACGCGCTGGTTCAAACTTCAACCAACTTCTCGGGTGGCAGGTCTTTGCCCGCTGAGCTAATCACAAACGTCCCTTTATTCGCACCAGCCGGGGTGCGCGTGCTGGTTGTCACGGACGGTGGTCGCGACTGCAGGAAAAAAAGCGTAGTGCTGTTGCAGAGCATTGGCAGCGTAATTTGGACGATGAAATAATTAAAACTGACATTCTCGTTATATCTTTACAGTGCTGCAGTGGCACTATCCAGTGCTATTACTAGATGCAACTGATCCGGAGGTTTCACTAGTGTTTTTGATATATACCTGAAGGCCTATCCAGTGTTATATGCCTATCCAGTGCTATTATTAGATGCAACTGATCCGGAGGTTTCACTAGTGTTTTGATGTATCCCTCAAGGCCTATCCGGTGTTATATGTCTGTCCAGTGTTATATACCTATCCAGTGCTATTATTATATGCTACTGATCCGGAGGTTTCACTAGTGTTTTTAATATATGCCTCAAAGATAGGACACTCCATTTAAAGCGATGCTTACAGACCTGGCACTTGTTTATGCGTGCCTTGAGGCCCCTCCAGAATGGTGCGGTACTAAAGAGGAGGGTCACTGGGAAGGCAGACAATGAAAGATCTCGGCGCAGACAAACAATAAAAACGTAGTGGGACAACGCATGAGCGGGCGCGTTGGTGCACAATTATGTTACGCTGCTTAGATGTGGGCTCAAACAAGTAAAGCTTGCCAGCTGCTCACGGTGACATCTGAAACGAGGGTGTAGTTTTGCAGGCAAATATGGATAGAGGAAGGCTGAGCGATAGGCCGCAGTTGTTGGTCCGATCGTTCCGAGGTCAGGATGGGTGTCTTCTGATGTGAAATTGAATGCAAAGGCTACTGTCTTCCACTTTTTATCGGGGAGCTTTTGAAAATCGCACATTTGTCATCAGTTTGTGGTGCATCAGTTATGACCGATTTACTTAAGGGGATCATTTATGCAGAGAAATCAGTCCTAAAGAATGCAGATTGTCATCACAAGCTTAATTTCAATGCATTTTAGAAATTGTATGTCTTCTAAAGGTTGACTTGGCACGCTACGCGGCTTCTCAGTGGATAGAGCGGCTGCATCTTCACCCGTCATTATCGTTCTTCACCTTGTCACCTCGCCAAGCTCTTAGCGGCACCCGTCCTCTTGCTCGACCGTTTCCATGCCACGTCAATGAAATTGCCCCAGAGCTGTGGGTTGTTAGGTGTCTGTCATCTATTAGGTCCATGAAAATCCGTCCATTTAAGAGCCTTGCTTCAAACGGAATGTTCCACACTTGAAGACGTTGAAACAAACATTAGATATAATCAAACAAGCTCATAACTATTGGTATACTTTTTAAGTGGAAAAGACTGCTATTGCCTGCACAATTCTTTGTTTAGTAAATATCCTCAACGCGTCATGGTTTGATTACGGCATCGTAACGTACATAACAGTTAATTGAGAGCCAATTGGCAGTCGTTATATTTGGAAATTGCGCTCACGAACGACAGATGTGAACGCCCTCACAGTTATTTTCTTCTTGGCCTTGATCTTCGCATGGCTTATAGGATGGCAGGATTTGCATGACATCGTTATGACGCCATAGTTGCCAAGGTGACTTCGAAATGCTCTCCCCGATACACCTTTCGCCATTTTCGCGGGTGCGTAGCTCAAAAACTGGAGGGGCTGAGGTCTTAGGAACAGGATTTTGAACAGCACTGAAAGGTCTTCAAGATGGCTATTTCAGTTCAAAACTCCATATAAATATGAAACACCCCCTTTAGAATATATTCATCCTGCGAAGGTTCTCTTGCAGGAGTAATCTTCTCCGGACATCTCCGTAGGTACGCACCTTAGATTGTGAGAGCTCTTCCTGCATCAACAAGATGTGATTTTTGTACAAATGTAGTTTATGGTCTTCGTATCACACCGTTGGGAGGTCCCCATGCCGAAACAACGGCAATTCAGTTAATGATAACTAAGAAGTCAGCTAAAACCGCATAAACCAAGCAGACTTTCCAAGTGTTATCACCTTGCTTAGTCAATATATGGATGGTTCACAAAGATAAGAATTGAGGCCCGCCCCTGATCCATTTTTTTCCGTACGGCGAACGGATAGGAGGTCGTTACAACTCGCCTTCCTTGCCATTTCCAAATTTAAAATGATGAGGCCTCGCGGAAGTACCAGTGGAAAACATTTACCTGGAGCTCTCCTGATTGGTTGCAAATTTTGTGCTGCGGAGTCTATAATTGTTCTCTCTAGGCCAGGTCAATAACCAACTTTCCCGAAAATCTCACCATTTTAGTTTACTTGCTAATGTTTACGAGGATATGCAACATGCCGCAATGAAACATATGCAGGCGTGTTCTGTGCTTTATTTTGAATTTGTTGTTTTGAATTTCTCTGTTTATGAGCCAATTTTGGGTGCACAGGATTCCGTTAACATACCAGTGTGGTACCTGCCGCCCGTGGTCGATGGGATCGTCGGCTGGCGGCCTCCGCCCGCGCTGGCAGTAGGTGCTCTGCCACCTACTGCCTCTGCCACCTACTGCCACCTACTGCCACCACCGCCAGCCGACGATCCCACCACGTGGTCGGTGGGATCGTCGGCTGGCGGCTACCGCCCACCCCGGTAGTAGGTGCTCTGCCGCCCGTGGTCGGTGGGCTCGTCGGCTGGCGGCTGCCGCCCACGCCGGCAGTAGGTGCTCTGCCGCCCGTGGTCGGTGGGATCGTCGGCTGGCGGCCGCCGCCCGCGCCGGCAGTAGGTGCACCGCCGCCCGTGATCGGTGGGATCGTCGGCTGGCGGCCGCCGCCCGCGCCGGCAGCAGGTGCACCGCCGCGCAGTCTTCTTGACAAAAACGTCTCTTCCCAGAAATCAGAATTGCTAGGGAAACGCGTTTGGTGTCAAAATACGCCTGTGAATGGTCCAGAGTCTACCGAAAATTTGAGATAGTTTACTTGACCTCCAAGGTTGATTTTCATACAATCTTACAGGAGATCACACGGCCTTCCTCCCCCATCAGGTTGGCAGGTAAAAGCTTCTGGAAGGTCAAGAGGTCATGAAGTTTTGAGGTTTCTCACTGCTGGTCCTGTGGCCAACTGAGCAGGAGAAGACTAAAACTAAACCCCACCAAACTACGTAAGAGAGGAATTCCTCTCCAAAGTCGGTTTTCCTTTTTCAACGCTTGGGGGGGGGGAGGCTGGAGCCTCCAATCTGAAAAAGAAACTACGCCTACATCTACATCACCTCACTACACTGTGTGAGGTCACAGACGTGTGGATTCCTCCTTGTTCTGGCTTCTGACTCATTTTCCTTGTGTCCTGCGAACGGCGGCGCAGCACCCGGCGGACAGATCATTACGGGGAGCCTGGTGGGGTCTGGGATTGGGGTTAGCGGGGGCCCGTTCAGTGACACGCCGTTTCCCAAGAATGCCACGGGAAACAGGTATTGCTCCACGAACGCGCACCTTCATACGGTCGTTGCTTTGCCACGCTACGAACGCTCCTTGGTCACCGAGGCCGGCCGCCGGTCACGGTGAAGAGGGTTTTGTCTGACAGCTGTAACTGTCCGATTTTAGTTACTGGCCGATTCGGTTGGTTTGTCGTTTACTCGATGTTCTATTCGCTTTGTAGTAGATTCATCTAAAGCAATTTGCTGGCAACATTGATACAGCTCACGAAAGCCAGAAGCGTGAGCCAGATTTGGCTCCAGTTCCCTTCAGTGCGCGTGTCAAATGCTGTAAATGAGATTTGCTGCTTCATTAACCCAATGTGGTCAATGTAATTTACAAGGCA